ATTATTATTATTATTATTAAAATGTTCATAACCTTTCCACAGAACCTGTCCTCCTTCTTTCAAATGCCACATTGGTTCATATTTCTCTTCCTCTGTCACACTAACCCTTTATTCTTTTTCTTTACATCTGTGCTTTTCTTCTTCTCTTCATTTCTCTATATTCAGTATCACGTGCACCATCTCTCCTCTGCACACATCTCAGTTTTATTTTCTAACTTTATCGTATTACTGCACATAACAGAGAAGCTTATCTGGTCGWATTTCAGCCCTATAAGTCCAATTTGAATTAATTTAAAAGTATAAAACAGCATCTGTTGGTTGTCTTAAGACCCAGTATGTGTGTAAAACTGAGAAACATCCCATGCATTAAATGCAAGCCTGCACGAGCGCGCGCGCTCACCTCCCCCGTGGTCCCAGTTGTTCGTGACGTCAGAGCTCCTTTAAAATCGACGGAGCGCAGAATCAGCTGCTCTCACTCGTCTTACATCCTGCCGGAGGGTGCGCTGAAAAGACGGATTACTAGGAAGGGACTTCAGTTTTCTCCAAAAACCAGTGAATTTAAACTCAAATTGTAAAAAATTTGAGATCAACAAGAGCTGGTGCGGCTTTTTAAATTGTGAAAGAAGTGATGCGTTCAGGTAACAGGTGGTGAGAGAAAAGGGACGTGAGCGGAGAAAAGGTGCCTCTTGAACGCATCATGAAGCTCTCAGGTTCTCACCACTTAAGGTTGCTAAGTTTCAGAAAAACTTTCCAAAAGTAAAGATGCCAACTCCTCCAGAGTGAAGCCAGACACCTAGATGAATGGACAGCGGGATGTTTTCCGCCCAGGGYGCTCTGAACCTCAGCTTCAATCAGAGCGATGACCGGAAGCCGGAGGACGCGTCGGCCGACGAGGCGAAGCTGTCTCCGGCGGGCTTCGTGGTGCTCTCCGTGGCGCTGGGCTTCATCATGACTTTCGGCTTCCTGAACAACTTCRTCGTCCTGCTGCTGTTCTGCAAATTCAAGAAGCTGCGGACTCCGGTCAACATGCTGCTGCTGAACATCAGCGTCAGCGACATGCTGGTGTGTTTGTTCGGGACCACGCTCAGCTTCGCCTCCAGCATCCGCGGCAGGTGGCTGCTGGGCCGCGGCGGCTGCAGCTGGTACGGCTTCATCAACTCCTGCTTCGGTGAGTTCCTCCGCACGGCTCCTGGAGCTTCAAAACACCCGAACAACTCTGAGAAAGGACTGTCATAATATTCACTCTAAAATGGAAAATATAAAATAATAATRATAAAATAACTTTGGATCTGTTTGCGCTTTTAGCTATAAAAATAGTCTGGTTATGAGATAAAACTATAGATTTTTGCAGTGCCTCTAGCAAAAAATAAAATAAAAAAGCTATAAGTAATTTGGTAAATGCTTTTATATTATACACTATACTGCAGAAAACAACATTTTCCATTATATATCCTGCTTGCTACCATTATATTGTGAGAAAACATAATTTCTAACAACTTATGGGGATAGAGGCAATAATGTTGCTTAGAGGGTGTTGATGCTATTTAGACCACCTCTGAAATTGGATAATTGGTTTTGTATATTTCTGATAGCCTACAGCGTCACAATGTTCTGAAATATTTCTCCCTTGAATGTGATTTATTTTATTCTTTCCTTAAGCTAAAATCCTGCTGATGTCCCACTTGGAGAACAGAACAAAAATCCCACTTTGAGCGTTTATTTTTTTGTCTTTAGATGGTTCTGCGGCATAGTTGGTAGAGCTGATGCCTCTCAGCAAGAAGGTCGGTTCAAATCCCGGTCCGGGGACCTTTCTGGGTAGAGTTTGCATGTTC